AAAAATATATATATATGTATGTATGTATTTTTTAAAAGAGAATATCAATACTGCTTTGGGGGGAGGCTGAATGAGTTGGGGGCCCGGTGGGCCAGTGTCCTGGCTCAGCTGATGTCCCCACTTTCCCGCCAGAGGATATATCGGTGGTGTTTAGCAGGGCCTCCTGGGAAGGCCGGGCTGACTTCTCCCAGGCCGATGTGCACCGCCAGATTGCTATTGTGTTCAAGACACCGCCCTATGAGGACCTGGAAATCGTTGAGCCTGTGACCGTGAACGTCTTCCTGCAGCGGCTTACGGATGGGGTCTGCAGTGAGCCTCTGCCCTTCACGTACCTGCCTCGGGACCATGGTAACCACGGCAATCCAGGGTGATCCACTGCCCAGAGACCAGGTCTTTGGCCTAGAGTGGCCAAGAGGCAGGAGTAAAATGCAGGCTCATAACTGCACAGACTGAGGTTCAGTTCCTGGCTCCACCTCTTACTGGTTGTGTGACCTTGGCCTCTCTCTGAACCTCAGTCTCCTCCTGTGTAAAGTGGAAGTAATAGTACCTATCTGATGGCATTTGGGGAGTATTTGATTATTTCTCCCCTCAGCATGCCTGCTCATGCCTGGCCCTATACTGGGTGGTGCTGGGGACATAGCAGTGACCCATGATAGCCCCAGCCTCACCCTCATAAGTCTCACAGTTCTTTAGTGCGGATGGAATTGCTCAGGGGACTCAGATTGCTCAGAGGGGGCATCTGACCCAGGCTTGGAGATGAGGGAGGGCTTCCTGGAGGAGGGGGACGGCTGAGCTGAGAATGTGGGGATGATTAAGCAGTTCTCCAGGGGAATTGAGAAATAGTGTTTTAAGCAGCTGGAGTAGCAAGTGCAAAGGTCCTGAGGCAGGATTGTGCCTGCAGTGTCCCAAGAAAAACAAAGAGGCCAATGTGGCTAGAAGTGGATTTGGGTTTCATTCTGATTAAGATATGGACATCTATTTGCATTAGTTGGCCAAGAACTAGAACAGCTCAATGACTTCCTAAGTGGTCTCTATAATTAATTCTTAATTATTATTATTGATGGATAATGTTGCCCCTCGTATCTCCTGAACAGACAGCTATGGCGTGGACAAGAAACGGAAACGGGGGATGCCTGACGTCCTCGGGGAGCTGAACAGCTCTGGTGTGTCCCCTCTGCCCCTTTCCACACTCATCTCTGGGTTCCTAGAAGGGGATGGCTAAGCCCTAGGCTGGGAAGGAGGGGCTCTGAGGGTCCAGGGTTCCTCATCTCTGCCTTCCCTCAGACCCCCATGGCATCGAGAGCAAACGGCGGAGGAAAAAGCCAGCCTTCCTGGATCACTTCCTGCCCAACCCCAGCTCAGGTGAGTCGTGGCTCAGGTGGGTCTGAGGGTGAGCTGCAGCCCTGCTTCTGGCCTCTTCAGGCTCCCCCCCCCCGCCACCAAAGCTCTCCTAACGCCAGGAACTCACATCTTAGGCAGCAGCATGAAGTAGAAAGAACAGTTCTGGACACAGTCTGGAGGCTCCGATCTCTGCTGGGCCATTCTCGGGCTGTGTGATCCTCACCAAGTTGCTCCATCTCTCAGAGCCTCAGGGTCTCCTCTGAAAAGTTTTACTGTATACCTCCCTCATTGACCTTTTAGATTTTAATGCATTTATTTTTACAGATACTATATAACAGGTGGGCACATAAGTGCAGTTTGTATGTTTACTCATTGAATTTAAATCGCATCACTCCTCCCCCCTGCACCGCCCTATCGTTTTATTGGTGAAGAAACCGAGGCCCAGAAAGGTGAAGTCTCTTAGCTGAGGTCACAGAGTCTACGGTGGAGCTGTGAGCTGTACCTGGGCACGTGTACAGATGAGTGATGAAACACTATGTAGAATGGGTAGCAGGGAGTAGATGGTAGACAAACGGGAAGGGTTGTCAGAGCCAGCCAAGCTTAATTCAGAGCCTGTCTCTAGCCCAGCCACCCTCTGGCCTGTCCTCCCCACACCTTTATCTCAACTCACACGCCAGCCTCCACTTCCCATGGACTGCAGCCCTATCTGGCTGCCATCAGAAGCCTCCCCACCTGCTGACCACTAGCTCTAAGAACGCTGCCCCCCAATACCCCAGCTACCGCAGGGTCCCAGCTCCCATCCGACCCGCCAACAGCCAACCACTCAGAGTCTGCTGAGCCTGGACCACTCCAGCCAGTCCCACCCTGGAGGTTTCAAGTATCACCTGTTGCTCTCCCTACCCACTGCACCTGGTAACCAATGCCCAGAGCTCCACCTATAGCAACCACCAATCCTAGCCCGCTTTACCAGCCTTCAATCCTCAATTTCCAGAGCCTCTCCTCATTAGCCACCTGCCATTCATCTACCTCCTCCATCACCCCAATTTCTCAGTGCCTAAAGGCCCCCCGCCCCTCTCATCCTTGGGCAAAGCTGCTCTGGCATGACAGTATAATGGTTAGGGGCATGGCCTCTGGAATCAGACCGAGTTTGGATTCTGAAGCCTGAATTTAGCCATCGTGTGACCTCTTTGGGATCTCATTTGTCAGATGAAAACCTTACCTCTTAGGGTCCTTTTTAGAATTTAGTGAGGTCATATGACACAGTTAGTTAGCATAGTGGCTGGTACAGAGTTAGTGCTCAGATCTTAGGAACTTGTCAGACAAGAATGCCACCTGCATTTGTGATGATCATGTTTAGCGGCTTTCATAGTAAAACCCAAGTTAACAGGGGCTTCAACAGGCTAGAACTTTATTTCTCCTCTCAGATAAACATAGGTGAATAGTCCTGGGATGGTTTGGAGGTTGTATGATCATCAGAGGCTCAAGCATGCTCTTGCCATTTTCAACTCATAGTTTCCATCTCATGGTCCAAAATGGCTGCCAAAGCTCCAGCCATCATGCCCACCTTCCTCCAGCCAGGAGAACTTAGTCACATGACCACATTTAGCTGTAAGGGAGGCTGGAAAATAGAGTCCCAGCAGCCCTGGGTCTCTTTCTGAGATAAGCATAATATGCCTTTGCTGCTGAGATTTGTCTTGTCTCAGGGAGAGACTCTCCTAATGACACGTAATTTTACCTTCCAGTGTGGGGACTGGTGACTGCTCATTTGGGTCTCCCGTGTGTGGGGATTTCACTTTTTGGGGGGCCTCTATAATTTGGGGGAGAGGGGATTTTAGAGCCTCTTCAACTTCCTTATTTTTTGGAAAAACTCCCCAGCCCTGCAGGAGCATGGTTTGAGCCCTGGTGCTACAACTCTCCAGCTATGTGTGACTGAATTATTTTGCCTCAGTTTGCTTATTAAACTAGAATGGTGATAGTCCCTACCTCGGGGTTCTCCTTGGGATTAAAGGAGGCCACAGTGATGAAGCATTTAGTACTATCAGGGCACTGGAGTTAGAGCGTGGCCAGAAGTCGCCGCTAAAGCCACTCTACTTCCTTCTGCCTTTTCATCCCTGCAGGCCCGTTCCTCCCGCAGTCAGCCCTGCTGCCGGACACAGACTTCTTCCCCGGCACCGTGACCCTACCCGGCTTGGAGCCCCCCGGTGGGCCGGACCTCCTGGACGACGGCTTTGCCTATGATGACGCTGCGGCCCCCACACTTTTCACCATGCTGGACATGCTGCCCCCCGCGCCGCCACTCGCCAGCGCTGTCGTCACGGGCAACGGGGCTGCCGGGCCGGCTGTTGGAGAGCCTTCCGGCCCTGAGCCAATGACGCTGGACTCATACCAGGCCCCAGGCCCCGGGGACGGGGGCACTGCCAGCCTTGTGGGCAGCAACATGTTCCCCAACCAGTACCGCGAGGTGGGCTTTGGGGGAGGCCTCCTGTCCCCAGGGCCGGAGGCCACGTAGCCCCGAGGCGCTGGAGGAGAGGCGCTGGGTGGGGAGGAAGGGAGGTGGAAGGAGCCGTGCAAAGCCAACCAGGATGTCCAGCACCTCCATCCCCTTGGGCCACCCTTGGTCAGCCTTCCGACCTCCTCATCCTTCTGACTGGGACATCTTCAGCGCTGGTGAGAAGCTCCGTAGCACCGGTTTCCCCTGAGCCCATTTTACAAGTGAGAAAACCGAGTCCGGAGAGGAAAAGGGGCTTGGCTCCCATGCACCAGCTTGTAAAGCTGCCTCAGCCCCCACGGGTGGGGGCACCTTCTCCAGGCGGATTCTGGAGTGTACATATGGGAGAAAGCTGCAGATCCTCAGCTCTCCTCCCCCGAGCTTGAAGGTGGGGGGTAAAGGTTGTTTGTTCTGAGTCTTCCCAATAAAGATGAGTTTTTGAGCCTTTGGAGTCCGGTCTCTTCTCCGCTGGGGAAACGCCCCAGGGCCCGCAAGCCGGAACCCTCCGGGATCGCCTCGGCTCCGCCTCTCACGGCAGCACCCTCCAGGCCCCGCCCCTCCCCTCCCGGGCCCGCCCTTCGCGTCGGCGGAAGCGCGCTCCGCCACGTTCCGCCCCTCCCCTTCGTGCGGCCTCCCACTTCCGCTTCCGGTGCGGGCCGCGCGCGAGCGCTGCGGTGGGAGGCGGCGACGAGCCGGTGAGTGCAGGTAGCGGGCCCCGACCTCCTGGTTTTCGGGCGGGCGTCAGTCCAGCTTCGCCCTCGTGTCGGCCTCTCCCCGGGCTGCTGTGAGCCTCTGCTCGGCCCCAGCCCCGAGGGCCGCTGGCCCCGCAGCCCCTCCGGCCTGCGGCGTCTCAGGCCGCGCCCCTGCCCCCGCTGTGGGCCCGACCTCGCCGTGTCGGATCCCGCCGCTTACCGTAGGCCCCGCCCCCTTGTCAAAAATCTTCGCCCGAACCCCGAGGCCCCCACCGGGTCCTCGATCCCAGTCCAAACCCCTGGGCTCCGCCCATGTCTACAAGCCTTGCCCCCGAGCTCAGCCCACCCACTCTGCCGGCTCCTCCTCCCTCATTCTCTACTCCGTTTTTCATCGCCCCACCTCCCCCCGCCCCCGCCATTCAGATTTCTTCTGTAGATCTCAGCCTCTCTCTGGTCTTTATTTACAGCACCACCCCCATGTTCCCCACCTCCCCCAAGCGTTGTCGTCTTCCGTCCACGCCCTTCACCTGCCCTCCATCTCCGCCACCCCCCCAATCCCCCATCTCCGCCCCATACCACCGCTCTGTTCCCATGAAGTCTTCTTCGCCTGCATTCATTCCTTACCCCACGGGTAGCCCCATTTCAGCTCTTCTCCCTCCCTTGAACTACAGCCCCACCTGCCTAGGGTCTCCCTCCAGACCGTATTTCAAACACTCACTCCTAGCATTCCAAAACCTTACGTCCTTGGTTCTAGTGCCCTGAACCCAGGACACTCCTTTCCCAGGGATGCTCTTTCCGGAATGTCCTAGGGGGTTTTCAGAACGCCCGAGGTACTGGATCAGAGTTGTCAGGAATACGCTTTGGCATCTGGCACGCAGTTCTGCAGCCTCACTTCCCTTCCCTAAAGCTGGTGTTTAGGATCGGTTCTGTTACCAGCTTGTTAGGTGACTTTGATTCTGCTCATATGGTTTCTACAGCCCATCTGACACTCCCCTCATCCCCCAGGTTGAGGCCCCCAGCTCGGCCTCACCACGATGTGGCACGAGGCTCGGAAGCATGAGCGGAAGCTTCGAGGCATGATGGTTGACTATAAGAAGAGAGCAGAGCGGCGGCGGGAGTACTATGAAAAGATTGTGAGTGACTGGCCTTGATCTGGGGTGGGACCTTTCCTGGAGGGTGGGGCCCCGGTCATCCTGGTGGGGTTTTGGGCTTGGAAATATGCCAAAACAAGAGCCCAGCTTTCCTCAGGAGAATATTCAATTCTTGAGCATCCTCATGGGTAAAAACCAGAGGCGTTCTCTTGGTTCTGGTATGCTGTCTTGTTTGGTGTGGCCTCAGTACAGAGCTGGTGTTAGCAGGAAGGAGGAAAGTTTTGTAACACTCAGAGCAGTCCAGATATAAGACGACCACCTCCTGAAGGCTGTCTGTCCTCCTGCTGTATTTGCAGTGCCCAGAAAAGCTCAGCTGTTCTTAAGATTTGGCTTGGCACCCTGTGGGAGTGCCATCCATATTCATTTAAATGGACTCTGACTACCTTCCTCTCCTGTTTGATGCTTTGGTTGCTTTGGGAGAGAAGACCACACTCCATCTGTGACCTTAAAGGCCCTTGTGGTCTGACCTCTCCCAGGCTCTCAGCTTCATCCTTGGGTAGCTCCACTGGCCTTTTTTCCCCATCTCTGTCACCACAGGGCATTGTGCCTGTCATGTCTCTCCTTCCCTCTTTAACTCCTACTTGCCCTTGAGACCCCAGCTTGAAATGGCACTTGTGTACTGGGCTCAATTCTCCTGTTAGATGATATTAATATAGATGTTCCCATTTACTACTGCATTCCTGCTTTAGCCTCCTATCTGGTCTCCTAGCCTTCATTCCTGCCCCCCTCCAAGTCATCCTCTTCAGCAGGGCTAGAGAGGTCTTTCTAAAGCACAGGGCTGGCGCCTCTGGGTGGCTCAGATGGTTAAGCATCTGCCTTCGGCTCAGGTCATGATCTCCAGGTCCTGGGATCGAGCCCCATGTCTGGCTCCCAGTTCAGCGGGGAGTCTGCTTCTCCCTCTCCCTCTCCCTCTGCCTCTCCCCCTGCTTGTGCTCTCTCTCTGTCTCTCTCTCTCTCTCAAATGAATAAATAAAAAAAAATCTTAAAGCACAAGTCTGACCCTCTTCCTTCCCTTGCTCTGAACTCCTCCATGGCTCCCTAGTGCCCTCGATAGAAAGCCCAGGCTCCTCAACACAGCCTTCAAGCCTCTGCATGGTCTGCACCGCACCCCTCCCCCCCCACACTTAGAGTCATGCCACTCTGCTTTCTGCCTCCTTCCTTTACTCAAGCTATCTGACCTCCTCGTTATCTAGGGTGATTTTCTCTAACGCAAAAGATGTATAAAGAGTATCGGTTTAGCTCTCAGAATTACATAGCCACAGGGCCTTTGCATGAGCTCTTCCCATACCTGGGTAATGACTGCTCATCTGTCAGATCTCAGTCCTTGAGGAAGTCTTCACTCATCCCCCACACTCAGGTGTCCCCTATAAATGCCATTACAGCTCCCTGTTCTTCCTTTTTGGAATTTAACATACACATATTTAGCTCTGTAAGATTGGGGACTAGTATTCAGGTCATCTTTGCATCCTCAGCTTGGGGTCAACAAATACAGCTTGAAAGAGTAATCGAGTAAACCTACTAATAGTAGCAGTTACCGTTTTAATTGCTCCTTCCAGGCACCCGGCTCTGTGAGAAGAGTTTTAGATGCATGGTTTCTTTGACTCCTGGGAGTCCCCAGTGAGACAGAGGCTGCTATTACTATAGGAGAGGAATCTCTGAGAGCTCCTCACTTGCCCTCTGTCTCCCAGGAAGGAACCACTGGATCAAGGCGAGCCCTCCCTGGTGGTGTTGGGAAAACTGTAACATGACCATGAGGGCAGGGTCCGGGTCTGTGCCGGTCCTAGTTGAGGCCCCAGTGTGGGCCAGGAACACAGTGCTTAGGAAGAAATGGCTGCCATGAGCTATAGTGAGGGCTCGTGGTGTGCCAGACCCAGTGCCCACTACTTTGGTGCATTCTTTCTAGTCCTTTGAGCGGCCCTAAGAGGCTGGGATTGATCCCTGTGTTAAAGATAATGCTGATAAAAGCAGCTGGTGCTGTTGACGCACACAACACACGTAAATATGTGTTGTCCATTATGTGTTATGTGCTTGACATGCGTTTACGCTTCATCAAGTCCTCACTGCAGCCTCGGACGTGGTTCTTATTTACGTCCATTTTACAGATGAGCGAACTGAGGCTCAGAGAGTTATGGTCTACAGTCACATAGCAAGAGGGCACAGCTGGCATTCTCACCCAGACTCTGAACCTTGACCTCTCCTAGCACTTCACCTGGGCTTACTGTTGCAGAAATAGAAGTTCTTTTTTTTTTTTTTTTAAGATTTTATTTATTTATTTGACAGAGAGAGAGAGAGCAAGAGAGCACAAGCAGGGTGAGCTGCAGAGGGAGAGGGAGAAGGAGACTCCCCACTGAGCAGGGAGCCCGATGCGGGGCTTGAACTCAGGACCCCACGATCATGACCTGAGCTGAAGACAGACGCTTAACCGACTGAGCCACCCAGGCGCCCCAGAAATAGAAGTTCTGAAAGGTGCAGCGACATGTCCAAAGTGACAGAGTGGAGGCAGAATACTAAAATGGTTAGGTCCTCAGGGTTTGAGTCTTAGGGCTCTGGGTTCCAATTCTAGCTCTTCTGCTTATGTACAGTGTGACCTTGGGCGAATGACTGTCTCCCTGAGCCGGTTTCCTTTTTTGCATGTGAAATGATGAATTACGTCGAGTCAGGTTTGGCTGTGAAGATAGAAGTTTCTTTCTTTTTCCCCTGAAAGCCCCGATATAGCCCGCTCTGCTCAAGGACCATTTCGTTGTTCAGCTGAACGTGGATTCTCTTACCAGTGTCCTCTGAAGGTCTAAGAGGGCTGCTCAAACTCTAGTCATCGTGTCTGCATTCCATCCAGCAGGGAAGAAGAGGGAGGGAAAAACCTGGCTCATGCCAGTTTTTAAGAAAGTTTCTAGATGTTTGCACCCAACACTTCTGTTCATCCCACTGGCCAGACAGGAGTCCCAGGATCATATACAAGTGCAAGGGAGCCTGAGAGGCCTAGGCCTTGTGCCAGACATACTGGGAGGGGGAATGGATGTTGGTTGCCAGCTACTGGTCTGCCACAGATGGGGGCCAAGCGCCCCCCTCACAGGGCTGTTTGTTTTGATGGGGCACATTGACCTCTGCGTAGGCCTGCCCGGGGTGACTGGCTCGGTAAATGCTGGCTCTTGTTCCTGAAGTTCTTACCAGGTAGAGCTGGAATCAGCATGGTGTAGAGGAAAGAAGGCTGGAGATGGGTCACTCTGAAAGGCCTGGGACTCCAGGCTCTCATTCTTGTTAGCAGGGGAGCTTCCTGGGCTTTATTTTCCCCCTCGGGACAGTGGTGATCGTCGGCCCCTCTCACTGGGTGACAGGGAGGAACGTCTAGAACAAGAACAGTGTCTGTGGGGCACTTTGTGGTGTGGGCCTGTACAAGCCACCATTGTCCCCTCGAGGGAACGTGATCAGCATGCAGAGTGGAGCTGTCAAGCTGTGGGTGGCTGCTTTGAGGAGGGGATGGGGCGGCTCACACGGGTCTCGTCTTATTCTTGGCTGGAGAGGGGGCTGTGGGGCGAGCACTGAGGAAGCCAAGGAAGTTTATGGCAAGCTGAATGGGTGGCCCACACAAGGCTGGTTGCCCTGCTCCTGGTTTGTCCTTGGCACCTGCTCTCTCCCCCTAGCTGACCCTGGTTCTGTCGTTGCCCTTGTCCTTGTCAACTTTCTTCTTTAATCAGTGGTTTGGATAAAGAAACAGAATTCCCTGTTGATAAGAAAATGGGAAATAGTTCAAGCCTCTCCTCCTTTAGAAAACCCCAGGCTGACCCCCCTCTTTACTCCCACCTCTGCCCAGGCTGAGTCAGGCATTTCCCTGGGCTCTCCCATCCCAGCGCTGCCCACTTTGGGTCGTCACTGTGTGGGACGGTTCCGTCCCCAGCCCTGGACCGTGAGCCGTGAGGGTCGGGCTGGGGCTGTGTCCGTCACGGCCATGGCCCTAGCATGGGGCCTAGGACATGGTGGGTGCCTGCTTATCAGTTGAATGAATGAATGAAAGGGTCCATGAACTCCTCTGACTCCCATCTGATCCTGGAGGCAGAATAGTCCAGTGGTTAAGAATGGACTTTGGATCCCGCAGAGGTGTTTGTACACCTCATGTTCCTTGCATTGTTATTCACAATAGCCAAGGTGGGGAAACAGCCTAACTGTCCATCGACTGATGAAGGGATAAAGAAAAGGTGGTATGTCTGTATGGTGGGATATTGTTCAGCCTCAGAAAATGGTATCCTGTCACGTGCTGCCACGTGGAGGAACCTGAAGACATTATGCCTAGTGAAATCAGCCAGTCAGAAAAAAAAAAAGATGCAAGATTCCACGTATATGAGGTATCTAAAGTAGTCAGGCACTTAGAAACAGGAAATAGAAAGGTGGTTGCCGGTGGGAGGAGAAAAGGGGAGTCATTCACTGGCTATGGGGTTTCAGTTTTGCAAGTTGAAGTTCTAGAGATCCGCTGCACTGCAAGGTGCATGTAATTTGATACATTTGTACTGTACACTTAAAAGTGGCGAATGTGGGGAGCACCTGGGGGTTCAGTCCGTTGGTTGAGCATCTGCCTTTGGCTCAGGTTGTGATCCCAGGGTTCTGGGGATTGAGCCCCCCATGGGGAGTCTGCTTCTCCTTCTGCCCCTGTCCCTGCTCATGCTGTATCAAATATTTAAGTAAAATCTTAAAAAAGAAAAAAGTAGTTAATGTGGTAGATTTTTCATCATATGCCTTTCACCAGAATTTAAAAAAAAAACTACTTTTGAAATAAAAAGGAGTGGACTTGAGGGTCAGGCCCATTTGGGTTCAAATCCTAGTTCTGTGTGGTACTGGCATGATTTCAAGCCAGTGGGCCACACCCCTCAGTTTCCTCGTCGGGAACACTGCTAACCTTTGTCCCATGCTTGGGAAGTTTGAGAAAATATACATAAAACAGTTCAGGGCCTGTCTTTTAGGACAGTTCATTGGCTTTTCCAGAATCTCCCAGCAGAGCCAGGCCCTGGACTTCGATTTTTAACCCAGCCTGATGCTTTTTCCCTTCTGGGGTCGCTGGCACAGCCTGCGGCTTCCCTGGACCAGTCAGTGTCCTTATTGCAAGCAGGGTCCCACGATGGCTGTGGGACCTGGGCAGTGGGCCGGGAGCGGCCCCAGGGGCTGTCACAGGGCTGAGGGAGCTGTGGGGCCCAAGACGCATTGAGGGAGGGAAGTGAGGTGCGGGACAAGCAATTGGATTCCCGCAGCACCACCCCTGCTGGACCCTGTGGTCTTGGGCGGATCGCACCTTAGCTGAGGGGGAACAGCCTGGCACGTGGCTAGTGTGGGATGGACAGTAGCCCAGCATTAGCCATGGTCGTCAGTGAGTGTCCTTCTTGGCCCTTTGTGGGTGGGAGGTGGAGGCAGTGAGGAAGTGCAGGGTTTTGGGAATTTGATGCTGTGGGTTTTGGGGCCTCAGCCTCCTCATCGGTCAGGATTCATTCTCTCTCCCCTTGAGTCAGTGCTCCCGAGTGTGTGCTGTGGGGCGGGTCCTGCTCCGGGCGCTGGGGATACAGTGGTGAACAGAGCAGCGATCCCTGCCTCGTGGAAGTTACGTTTTAGTGCAGGAGACAACTGGTAAATGAATGTAAGGTGGGAAACCGGGTGGTGGCAGGCATTGTGAAGAGAACAGGTGGGGTTAAGGAGATAGAGGGTAAGTATGCGCTTGTGCAGGAAACTACTTAGAGTTGATGAGGAAGGCTTCTGGAAAGAGATGAAATAAGCCGGGGGGCAGCCACCTGCCAGAGCTCTGCAGGCCGAGGGAAGAGCGAGCACCGAGGTCCCGAGCGGAGCATGAGTGGAGTGGTCACGGGGTGCTGTGGAGGCTGGCATGTCTGGAGCAGAGGTGGGGGAGCGAAGTCAGAGAGGGATGTGGCCTGAAAGGTTTTAGCACACCACCACCCCCCCCCACCCCGCCCCAGGCCCTGTGTGGGAGATGTGGACTGCGGAGGGAAGGCTGACAGCAGGGAGCCCGAGAAGAGGCTGCCAAGGGGTCTGGGCCGGAGACAGGCTGGCTGGACCAGCATGTGGCGAGGGGGGGGTTGGACCCTGGGGAGGTGTTGCTGGGAGCTTGGCCAGCATTCAGTGGATAGTAGCAGTAGCCCTTCTCGTGGCTCTTGTGGGTTCCTCGGATATGGCCCGCAGCAGGAGCCCAGCCAGGGCCTGGCGCTCGGGAGGCTCAGCAGTGGGAGCGCTCGCTGGTGCTGGATTCTGTCCTTTCCTGCCGCACCTGGCATCCTGACCTTCACACAAGGGCTCAGGCTGGAGGAGCATAGACTCAGGGGCCGCTCTCCTCTATGTTGGTGCCTTCTTAACAGCTTTATTGAGGTACAATTCACATACCATACGATTCTGTGGTTTTCAGAATATTCACGGGGGGGTGCATCCATCACCACAGCTTAATTTTAGAAAATTTTCATGACCCCAAAAAGAACCCCATACCCATTAGCAGTCAGTCCCCCCCTCCCCCAACTTCCCAGCCCTGGGTAGTCACTCATCTACTTTCTGTCTCTGTGGATTTGCCTATTCCGGACGTTTTCACATAAATGGAATCCTATAACGTGGCCTTTTTGACCGACTTCTTTCACTGAGCGTTCTGTTTTCAAGGCTCGTCCATGTTGTAGCACACGTCAGTTCTTCACTCCTTGTTATTGACAAGGTTCCGTGGTCTGAATATACCAGGTTTTGTTTGTTGGCCATCCATTGATGGCCACGTGATCGTTTCCATCTTTTGGCCATTGTGAGTCGTGCTGCTTGAGTATCGGTGTACAAGTGTTTGAGTATCTGTTTTCGGTTCTGGCGGGTATATTCCTAAGAGTGGACTTGCTGGGTTTTATGGCAGTTCTTTGTTGAAGAACTCACTTTCTGCACCTTCTTGTCAATGTTGTTCACGTCTGTCCTTTCCGTTTCCACTGTTCTAGTGAGTGTGAAGTGTCTCATGGTTCTCGTTGGCATTTCCCTGATGAGTAGTGACACTGATCATCTTTGCCTGTGCTCACGTCGTCCCAGGGTCTTAGAGGCCGGTCTAGGCCGGAGTGCTCACACCTGGCTCCGAATGAGTGACCCGGGATTGGGGGAGGGAGGTGATTTGGGGAATCATATTTTTGGGGCAGAAGGTCTCGGTACTGACCGTACAGAAGGTTGGGCCAGAGCCCAGAGCCTTTCTCCACCATCTCAAGGTCTCCTGTCCCTAGAACTGAGGTGGCCCCCGTGAGTGCTGCCACCCCCGTGCAGCTTAGTTTACCTCTGAGGCATGGCCCACTTGACAGAGGTGCGCTCGCTGCTGAGCTGGGTTGGGCGGGGGTGGCAGGGTCTGGAGTTCAGCGTGTTGGTGACTTCCACCCTGTCTCTCCCCGCAGAAGAAGGACCCAGCGCAGTTCCTGCAGGTGCATGGCCGAGCGTGCAAGGTGCACCTGGATTCTGCAGTCGCCTTGGCCGCCGAGAGCCCCGTTAACATGTAAGACTGAGAAGGGGGAGGGGTGGTGTCTGTGTCTGAGGGTTGGAGCTCAGGAGGGACCTGGGGTGTGGAGAGACCTGTGGGGACTCAAGCAAGGACGGCCTGACCTGCATGAGGAGCTGACAGTCACCAGCCGAGGATAGCTGGCAGGGGTTGGGATGGAGGCCCCAGGGTGCAGGGGTGCTTGGGGGACTTAGAGGGGAATGGGTGGAGCCAGGAACACAGGCCCAGATGACATGGCAAGTACGTTGCCAGAGGGGATGTTGCAAAGTGACCGGGGCTTAGCAAGTGGCCCCTGGGACCTGGTTCGAGTTTCCCACTCTTGCTTGGTTCTGAGAAATAGGGCCTCAGTTTCCCAGGGTCCTATTCAGGCTAGGAGCCTGAATGTAGATTCAGGGGGATTAGTGACATAAGAGACTGAGAAGTGGGGGGTGAGGGTGTGGGGCCCATGGCCTGGAAAATCACAGGGAGCCGAGGGACAGGCTCCCGAGCTTGAGGTGACAGGGAACGGACGTGGACACTGGGGACCCTCAACTCCTTGCTCCCCATTTCAGGATGCCCTGGCAGGGGGACACCAACAACATGATTGACCGCTTCGATGTTCGCGCCCACCTTGACCACATCCCCGACTACACCCCCCCGCTGCTCACCACCATGTAAGCCACCTCCCTCTCAGGCTTGCCTGGTAGGGAGTCTGTGCCCTGCTGCCTCCCCTTTCCCAAGCCCTTGCCCGCCTGTCCCTTCCTGGGAAGGAGGAGGTGTGCCGGTGGGGAGCCTCCCGGCCCGAGCCAGGCTCCTCCAACCCCACTCCTGCTGGCTTCGGGTGGGGCCTCCCCTCTCCCTCTGATCTCAAGACTTTGGCCTCCCCCAAAGCTCCCCAGAACAGGAGTCAGATGAGCGGAAATGTAACTACGAGCGCTACCGAGGCCTGGTGCAGAACGACTTTGCCGGCAGTGAGTGAGCTGGGGCGTGGCAGGCGGGTTGGGCGTCTGTGGACACGGGGAGGCCACTTTTATCCCAGTGCTTTCTCTGGGATCTCGGGTTTGCTCCCCGCTCTTTTCTCTTGGGCCTCCTCCTCTGGACCCAGTACGGGCCGAGTCTGCTGAGCGAGATGGTCCTGCTGGGGTCACTTCTACATCTCACACCCTCTGCCTCTCTGGTCTTTTGTCCCAAAAAATTGGGGAAAATAGCAAGAACACATTGTGTCTCCTCTGTGTCTTTCCCCCAGTGTTTTTGGGTCGCAATGTCACTTGTGAAGAGGAAATTTCTTTTAGGAATTGTTCAGGAATATTTAGAGTTTGGCAATCTGCCAAGCGTTTGTATATGTCAGTGTTCTTCTCCAAGCCGTCACCACGTTGCTTCACCAATGAGAAAACAGGCTCACGGTTTTCCCCACTCTGGGCTTGCCTGGGGAGGTTCGGGCCCTGACAGACTTGGACCTTTTTGTCGGTATTATATCTCATCACATTGGCACAACCACCTAGCGGTGGCACCCATTTTACGGGTGAGGACGTTGAGGCTCAGGAATTGGTGGGAACATGGTGTCCAAGGAGCTGGGATTCTCACCCCGCCCTTAACCACCGCCACCTCCTGATGGACGGCTCCAAGCTTTAGCTCACCTCCTGAGGACTGAGACGTCCCCTCCCAGGGTTTCCCTGTTGAGTCAAAGGGAAGATGGACCACACGAGGCCCTTCGCCTGGTGGGTCTCGGTCTCCTCCCAGAGAAGGGTGGTCATGATGGTTTCTGTACCCCAGGGTGGTTGTAGGGGCCCAGCGAGGGACGCTTGAGTGCCTGGCCCCGAGCCTGGCGTGGTCAGCTCCTGCTGTGGTTCGCTATTCCCTTGTTTCTTTGTTTCTAAGATGGACATCTCAGCATCTCTGATACCAAAGATCGCCAAAGTTCTAGCAATCAGCGAGGCCTTAGGATCAGGGAACTTTATCATCTTTGATACTGTTGCTGTTTTTGCCTTCACCCAGGGCCCCAGGGGTTCTTGGTCACGGAGCCAGGGTTTCCCTTAGTTCGGTCTGACTCCGCATTCGTCCCTTGCCACCGTTCCTGAGCACCTGTGGTGTGGCCGGCACGCCTCTGGGGTTGGGGGTCTCATGGGGGAGAGGGCAGCAGCCACACAATCACCAAAGCGGGTGGCAGTTGCAGGCTGAGGTGGTGATCTAACAGACGGTGGGCTGTTCTCTGAGGTGCTTGATGGAGGCTGGGGTCGAGGTGGGGTGGGGGGGGAGGAGCTCTGGTGAGGAGGAGGAGGCTGCAGAAGAGGCCTTTGGGAGGGTGGGCGCAGGCAGTCTGCGGGGCTGGAACAGGGAGAGCGAGGCAGCTCGGGTGAGACAGGCCAGCCGAGCCCTCTCTGCCCGGGCTTTGTGTGCCACAAGTGGGAACCGGGGAGGGGGGTTGCTGTGGGAGCAAGGGACGGTGCTCTTCGCCCAGCCCACCCACCTGACTTGACAGAAAAGCTGAGACCTGCAGTGGGAAGGGGACTTGCCCAGGGCCCCACAGCCAGTCAGGGCCGTGCCTTTCATTGCAGGGAAGATCAGGGAGGGCTGGGGTACAGTGGGAAGCTCCCCAGGTCAGGTGTTGTGGCTAAACGAGAACCCAGGTGGCTCCGAACATGGGTAGTTTAAATGGAACCACAGAGAGGCCCACGGTGGAGTGGCCCCTGGAGTCCCGCTGACATCCAGCGCTCAGGAGAAGTTTGTATTTCTGCAGGGTCCACCCAGAGGCCTCCCTTGCGGGGATAAGAGTAGCATTGCCCCCGGGCCAGGCGCTCGCTCTTGTGTCCCCCCCCCGCCCCCAATTTCTTTTGACCCCCCCCCGACCCTCCTGCCACTTGCCTTGCTGCAGTCTCAGAGGAGCAGTGTCTGTACCAGATCTACATTGACGAGCTGTACGGAGGCCTCCAGAGGCCCAGTGAGGATGAGAAGAAGAAGTGAGTCGGGGTCTGGGGGCATGCTGGCGTTGGGGGAGGCGGGAGGACTGTGAGCCCCACCAGGGCATGGCCTCCTCCGGCTCGTCCCCCTCGGCTTTCCCAGAGTCAGGGCCAGCGTGTGGCACTCAGTAGGCGCTCACGTAACACACGCTTAGAGGGGGAAGCGGTGGCCGAAGGAGGGGATTTGCTGCAGAACGTCTGCACTGCGTTTCTAGCCGGGGGGACGGTGGGAGGTGCAGTCCGCGGAGCCGGCCGTGTGCTGACCCAGGCCCGGGTTTGCGCCCTGCCCGTGAGGACCCCCTCGCTGAGCTTTGGGGCGCTCCCCCGCATCGCGGGCCTGCAGGAGCCCCCCTTCCTGCAGCGGACGGAGCTTGCGGATCACCCGCCCTGTGCCTGCCCTGCATGCGCTCGGCAGCAGCCAACGTCGCCCCAGAGAGAGTCCCCTCGGCCATGTCCGTCGGTGGGAGGAGGCAGGGCCTTACGTGGAGCCACTCTGGCTCAGGGAGGTCCCCGGTGGGCAGGCCCCTTCTCTCTCCGTCCCCTCGGCTGGGGCGGCCTCCTTGCCCGCAGCAGTGCCGGAGCCTCACTCCTTTCCTGCTGCCGAGGCTTCCCCTTTGTGTGCCTGAGCACTCGCCGCTCTCCTCCTGGAGTTTCCACGGATGCCACGGAAGTTTCTTGATGACTGGCCCCCACTCATGAGCCCGCTTTCAGGATGAGGCTGGCACTCGAGGGATGTCTGGGAACGTTGACTAATTTAGCAACACACGTGCTTGAGGCCCCTCCTCTGTCCTGGGCAAAGCTGGGCCACATTGTTACCCAAGATAATTCTGGGTCCTGCCCTCTTGAGCTTAGTCTGCTAGGGGGAGACAGATCTGTCCCCCAACAGTCAGGACCCCATGTGGGTGGGGCTGAGGAGCTCAGGATGGTGCTTGACCCTGCCTGGGGGACAGCTTCCTGGGGACACTGGAGCCGGAGCTTGGGAGAAGAGGGAGGGGCTGGTGGGAGGCAGGTGCGGAAGGTTCTGGGCTGAGGGAGAGCACCGTGAGGGGCCAGAGGCAAGGGCGCCCTCAAGAGGCTGGAGCTCAGGGAGTCAGTGTGCCCTCGAGGCTTGGCTCTGGGCTATGTCCTGCCCGTGGCCCTCCTGTTCACGGGCTTCCCCGTCCCAGGCTGGCAGAGAAGAAGGCTTCCATTGGCTACACCTACGAGGACAGCACCGTGGCCGAGGTAGAGAAGGTAGCGGAGAAGCCAGAGGAGGAGGAGTCACCAGCTGAGGAGGAAAGCAACTCGGACGAAGATGAGGTCATCCCCGACATCGGTGGGGTCCCCTCTCTGCCCTCCCCTACCCCGCAGTCCCTGGGCATCGTTTTCGTGTCTCGTTCCTCACCCTCTGTGGGGCGCCCCGCACTTAGGAGCGCCCATCTCTCCCGCCCCTGCTCTGGGGCACTCCAGCCTCGGCCGTCCTCCCTGTCTCACTCATGTGCTCCTCTGTGCTGGCTTCCCTCTCTGTATCTCTCCGCTCTCATTTCTAGGACATTGCTTTTATGATATTGTCCCCACCTAGGTTCTGTCTCCGTTGTCTTCTGCTTGGGTCAGCCTCTCCGTCTCCCTCTTTTTCTGTCTTCTCTGGAGAACAAGTGTTCGTTCAGTTCCAGAACCATCCCTCACCCCTCTCCCACCCTGCCATTCACCCCCTACCCAAATACCCATGGCTCCAGCCATCCACCTGTCTCCCCCTCCTCCTCTCAGCCAGCTGCTGCTTACCACACATCCGGAAGGCATCCATCCCCTCTCCCGCTTTTTCATAGTGCGTCTGGCTCCTAAACACCTGCCACCCACCCCCCATATCCCGCCACATTGGCACCCACCCAGATCTTCACCCACTGCCCGTCCGTCTGTGTCCACACATCGCTGTCCACTGGTCTCGCCCGTCCATCTCAGTGCTCATTTGAGCCCTCATCCATTGCATCTCTTCCCCCCATCCCCCCACAGCCCCTTGCCTCCGGCCAAGCCCCGCGCCAGCCTGGGGATGCCGAGATGAGTGGACTAGTTCTCTGCCTGCAGAGGCCTCCGGTCTAGTGGGCATCCCCTCGTGCCGCCACCTCCCGGGGCGCTGCCCCTTCCCCCCGGTCCTCTCGCTCAGCTTTGGCCCCTGACAGCCTTTCTCTTGGTGTAGACGTGGAGGTGGACGTGGACGAACTGAACCAGGAACAGGTGGCAGATCTCAACAAGCAGGCCACGACTTATGGCATGGCCGACGGCGACTTTGTCAGGTGAGGCCTGCTGGCGTGGGTCATTATCCCTGCTGCTGACAGCCACTTCGTTCCTGAGCACGAGTGTGTCTGGCCCCAGGGCCGTGGGCCTCCCACACACAGGCTCCTGACCTCCTGGGATGGGTACTGACCACCGGGCGGCGCCCGGCTCCCTGTGACCTGTGGCCGTCTGACCCCCTAAAAGCTCCCAGGGCTCCTGGGCCTGGTGGACGGCTCCCCCTGGTGGAGAGCAGGCTTCGTTCAGCGGATCACTCCCTGGCAGCCGCTGACCGGGCCTCTTCCCTGGGCCACCGCCTGTGCAGATCCCATACAGCAGCCCCGCTAGCACAGTAGCGAGTCGGAGTCTGAGTGATCCCGTCTGAACCCAGCACCCTCCGTGACTGCCCCGTCACCCGGGTAGCCGGGGTCCTCACCTCGGCCACGAGGTCTTACCCGTCCGGTTCTCCGCTCCTCCACCCGCACGCTGCGCCCCTGCGTGGCCCCGGCGCCCCCTCACTCCCCAGGCCCCCCGACTTGCGGGCTGCTGGCGTGCGGCTGTGCCGGCGTCCAGGTTGCGTACTCAGCTGGCTCCCCTCAGCTGTCCCCTTCCCTGTGTGGCTCCCCCACCTCCCTGCTGAAAGCTATAGCAGCTCTGCCTGTCCGCTGGCACTTCCTCCCCCGTCTACAATGTCTCTTCCCGGCCGGGTTTTCACCACATTACCTGGGTTATTGTCTCTTGGAACGTGAGCCCGTGAGGGCCAGAATTTTTGTTTGTTTATTTTCAGTAGTGAATCCCCAATCCATAAACTAGCAACTGCGTGCAGCAGGCACTCAGTAATAGTGTTGCACGAATGAGAGACCCCAGGATGGCGTGGGATCCCTCACTGCCTGTGGCCTGCCCCCTCCTCTGTTGTGACCCCCCTGTCCCTCTGCAGGATGCTCCGGAAAGACAAAGAGGAGGCAGAGGCGATCAAGCACGCCAAGGCCCTTGAGGAAGAGAAGGCCATGTACTCGGTGAGGGCTGGGCCGGGGGTGGGTGCCCCAGGGAGGGCACATCTCTCACCAGCATGGTGCCCGCCCTCCTCCAGGGCCGTCGCTCCCGGCGCCAGCGGAGGGAGTTCCGGGAGAAGCGACTGAGGGGCCGGAAGATCAGCCCACCCAGGTAGGCTGGCCTGTCCCTTGTGCTGCTGCCCTGCCAGCCTCATTCAGGGCTCTGGGGGAGGGGCTGGGGCTCAAGGAGACTCTTTGGGTCCAGGCTTGGGCCTGTGAACAGAGTCCTCTGTTCCTCCTGTAGGGCAGGAAACGGGGAAGGCTTAGGGTAGGGATGGCCTTGTGGACACCCTGCCCTGCCAGCCACCCCCCACCCCCCTCCACCCCCGCTGCACTTGGACTCTTGCCGGGCGTTGGAGGCACCAGTGGGGAGGCGGTGCGGGGCAGCCGAAGAGTTGAGGGCAGAGTCAAGGGAACAGCCCTGTCCCTGAACTTCTTCCTGCTCCTCTTCCTGGGCTGTGTCCTTGTCAGATTGGGGGCAAGTGACTTCCCTTGGGTTTCAGTTTCCTCCTTTGGAGAAGGGGCACCGTCACCTCCCAGGATTGGGGGCGCACCAGTGCCCACTCTGAGGTCTGGGGCAGGTTGGGAGGAGGCGGTCTGGTGTGGTGTGGAGGGTCAGCCTAGGTCGAGGGGCCTCCAGACGAGCCTGCCGCTGTCTCTTAGCGCTGGAGACCCAGTGCCAACCCAGGCCTCTTGCTGCACTGCCTCTGGACAAGGAGAGGCCCTGAGGGTAGCTGTGGGGCTTAAGCAGCCTAGCGTGGGCTCAGGGCTTGGTGCAGGGTCCGGAAAAGCCGCCCTGATTCTCGCCATCATCCTCCTTCCCGTAGGGATGCAGTCCGTGTAGTGTGTAAAGGCGTGGGCTAGAGGCCACGGGGCCACGGGGCCTGGCTTGGCAGCCCAGCTCTTCCGTTTATGAGCTGTGTGGAGCTGGGCAAGTGACTCCACCGCTCTGGGCCTCGGTCCGTGAGCTCTGAGCTGTGAGGGACCCCAGCAGCCGTGTGAGAGCTGTCGTGAAGAACAGCTGTGTTCGTGGAAGTAAAGTGTTTAGTGCACGGCACATAGTGAGCATCCAAGACACCATGGCGTTTCTAGTTTTCCCATCGTCCTCGTTTACAAGCGGGGACCCAGGTTGCAGAGCCAGGGACTTGGAGTGGCGGGGGAGGTGCTTCCGGCTGGGGTCCAGAGCTTAAGCAGGACTCAGGCTGCTGGAGTCCCTGTTGCTCAGGGTCGGGAGGGGCCCAGGACGTAGTTTGCGGGGTGTGGCCACGGTTCAGGCTTTGGACAGATCGGAGGTGGGGTGCGCAGAAGGATCAAGGCAGGGCCTAAATCCTGGCCAGCAGCCCCCTCCTCACAGTGCCCGGTACCTGACCCTGGGCTCCTTGGTTGGGTGAGGGGGCCCAATTCCATGCCTGCTCAGATCCCAAGCCCCTAGTTGCTACCCTGCTCTTTTCTCCATAGCTACGCCCGCCGAGACAGCCCCACCTACGACCCCTATAAGCGGTGAGTTCCCATGGCCCGAGGAGGGGCAGCCAGCAAACCTGATGGAGGGGTAGGGCTGGGGAGAAGGGGCGGGGGGAGCAGAGGGGGGAGGGCAGTGTGTTTTGGGGGGAGTGGGGCGATTCTTAGCACCTGATGTCATCTGTGGGTCTGAATCGCTTTTCTGGTTTCCAGAATGTTACCTTGCTTTGCCAATCTTTTTTTCTTTAAATGTGAACCTTCTTTAATCTTTTGATTGATTGATTGATTTAAAAGATTTTATTTGACAGAGAGAGAGAGACAGTGAGAGAGGGAAAACAAGCAGGGGGAGTGGGAGAGGGAGAAGCAGGCTTCCCACGGGGCAGGGAGCCTGATGCGGGGCTCGATCCCGGGACCCTGGGATCATGACCCGAGCCGAAGGCAGACGCTTGACTGAGCCACCCAGGCGCCCCATAATCTTTTGATTTAAACACAGTGTAGTCGTGTGTTAAAAATGACCCAGAGTGGCAGAAGGGTTTGAAACAGAAATCAGGAGTCCCTTTGATCTAAACTCCCAGAAGTAAGCAGTGAGAGATACTGCACAGGAGGGCCCGGCTTTGCACACGTGTGTCTCCGGGATGCGGGGGTGATGGGACAGGGGCCTTGAGGGTGGACAGCCATCAGCCTGACCCCTGTGCACTCTTCAGCATGCAGTGGGAGGACTGTCTCTCTGGGTTTTGGGGAGGATAGGAGATGAGGCAGGTGCCTTTGGGTACAAGGTCAGGCACAGGTAAACAATCCAAGGACACGGATACTTTCCTTTTAGAACAATGGAATCGTGTCACATTTAACATTGTAGAACTCGCTTCATGGATGTCTGTGTTGAAGTGATCTTTTGAGGTTAAATTTGTTGATCTGCTCATTCCTCTTTAATAGTTAGACAGAATCAGTCCAGCTCGTTGTCGCTCACTTTTTTGCTTGTTTTGTGGAGGCTCCGCACAGCTGGGTTCCTTTAGGCCCTTTGGCTCTGTTCGTGCTGGGTGTCCAGCCGTGCTCGGTGCCACGCTGGCCTCGGTTCCGGGGCCCTGCGCTGTGCGTGGTTAGCTGGTGGGCTCCCAGGGAGCCTGGCAGCTGAGGCCCCTCTGCCCCGCCCCGTAGGTCGCCCTCCGAATCCAGCTCCGAGTCCCGCTCCCGCTCGCGCTCCCCGACCCCAGGCCGTGAGGAGAAGATCACGTTCATCACCAGTTTTGGGGGCAGCGACGAGGAGGCGGCAGCAGCCGCAGCGGCAGCAGCCGCATCTGGGGCCACCACAGGGAAGGCCCCCGCACCCCCCCAGCCCGGCGGCCCCGCACCGGGACGTAATGCCAGCGCCCGGTCGGTAACGCTCACGCTGCCCGCCCTACGCCCCGGCCGCTGTGGGGGGGGACGCAGGGCAGTGGGGGGCCTTAGCCCAGGCCCGTGCTGACCGGCCCTCCGTGCCCCGCCTGCAGCCGCCGCTCCTCCTCCTCCTCCTCCTCCTCCTCTTCTGCCTCGAGGACCTCCAGCTCCCGCTCCAGCTCCCGCTCCAGCTCCCGCTCCCGCCGCGGCGGGGGCTATTACCGCTCTGGCCGCCACGCTCGCTCCCGCTCCCGGTCCTGGTCCCGCTCTCGGTCCCGCTCCCGGCGCTATTCGCGGTCCCGTAGCCGCGGCCGGCGGCACTCGGGTGGGGGCTCCCGAGATGGACACCGGTACTCCCGCTCGCCTGCCCGGCGCGGTGGTTATGGGCCCCGGCGCAGAAGCAGGTGTGTGGCGTGGATGTTGGGGGGGGGACCCGGGGGTGGGCAAGGCCCCATGTCAGCCAGACTTGGCTCCGAGGGAGGGGACCAGGCCACGGCCGCTCTGTGAGGAAGCGCTCGGTTTGCTGGGGAGGTGTGCCCCCTCTGCTCCCCACACGTGGTGACGTGGGCTGGCGCACAGCCGCGTTCTCGGGACTGACCTGGTCCTGTCGTGGGGAGTTCCCGGTGTGGGTGTAGACAGGTGTGCGGACGCTCAGGGTGTCCTGTGGCCTGCAGTGGGGACCTGGCTGGCCTCTAGGGCTGGGGTGCTCCGCGGGCAGAGAGGCGCTGCAGACGGGGTAGGAAACGAGGCATCTGGGGAGGGGAGCATCCTTCCTGGGCTCTTGCTTGGCGGGATCAGGCCTGCCTGGGCCACAGTGGTGTGGCTCGCAGGGGTGGGGGGCCCAGCTTCAGATCATGGCCCTGCTCGGAAACTTCTGGGGCTTCATTTTTTTCACGTGTAAAATAAGGACAGTGTCCTCTTTGTGGAGTCGTTGGGAAGGTGTGACGACACATGTGAATGCTAGCGTTGGGCGACTGCTGCCGCCCCCAGCATTGTCCCTTGTATTGTGGCATGCGTCTCAGCGTCAGCTTCCTACAGGGGCTGGCAGGTAAAATAAAGGGGCCAGGTGGGCCCCGGGGGGACTGGGGCACACGTGTCCCATCCATTCGGGTTGTCGGGTCTGCAGTGGTGGGCCCGACGCCGCCCCATCTTGTGTTTTCTCACGAGAAGTTGAGAGTCTGGGTTGTTAAAGGATAGTTCGTTTTCTCAGCATTGCCCACAAATTGGAGTTTTGTAGAAAGTTGGCCAGCCGCTGCAGAATCCGTGTGTGGCCTAGACTTGGTTTCCAGGTCATTCCCTGTAGCCTGACCCAGGGCGACCAGAGGAGATAGGCCTGGGGGAAGGAGGGGGGCCTGGCCACATCTCGAACCCCAGCCTGAGGGAGAGCCCTTGCTGAGGAGCCCCCAGGGTCCTGAGCGGAGAAAGGATGGGGCCGCACGTCCCCCGACTGGGTCTCGTGGGTCCGTGCTGTAGATTGGTGGGGAGAGCGGGCGAGGGGGTGGTCCCCGCTGGACCCTAGCAAGGTGAGGAGGTGGATGAGGTCACGGGCACCGTGGGTAAGGGGGGCGGCGCTGGCCAGCCGGGTCCCACCCTCCCAGAGGTCGCCTCCCAGGGGAGCCGGTGAGTGTGTGTCAGAAGTGAGAAGCGAGCCGTTTCAGGGTGGTTGTATCTGGAGGGCGGGCTCTGTGTAGACATGGAGCTGGGCCGGAGCTGGGCCGGGGAGCAGCGGGGGAGCAGCCCCAGACCTACCGACCTACCACAGGGCCT